CATAAAAACACAGGTGTGCACTGCATTTACAGTACAAGAGCATCCAGGGTGTTTGAGGGTGCCAAATCCTTCAGGAGGGCACTGGGGGAATTTGCCAAGTTGAGAGAGCCACACAAGGTGTAGTTTTACCCATATTTTCTCTGGGAGGTAGCACTTGTCCTGGGCTTAGAAGTGTTGTCTGTGAGTCAGGCTGGGTGATCAGCAGTCCAGCATGCAAGGTCACTCCCTGACCCTTTTTTGTGTAGTGATATAAATGCAGCATAGATGTCTCTTAATTAAAAAAAGAAAAAGAAAAAAAAGCAACCAACACTGGCCATTTTATTTTAAGTCAAAAAACCACTCAATAAATGACAACATGTCTTTTTTGGCAGTCAGTCGTGACAATTCAGCATGAGGACCAAGACTGCAGTTGGTTTTGCTGTTTGCATTTATGTTTTTAACATCAAAGTCTTGGCAGATTAAAGGAGAAGTTCTGTCTCATCTACCCCACTGTCTTCATTTGAAGCCTGTCCCAGCAGGCCTGAAACGTTCAGGAGGAATTTTCCTACTGACTTTGGTAAGTCTGGGACCAGCCTCTTGTGTTCCAGGATCTCCTCTGCATGTGAAGTGTGTTTCTTGTTCAACAGGTGTGTGTTTTGCTAGTCTCAGATGAGTAAAACTATAGCAGTAACATTTTTTGTTATCAGAAGAGAGCTTGGATAAGCATGGACACAGTCAGACAGTGATCAGTCTTTGTTAGCAAGATGTTCTTTCCATACAGTACTTCTCCATGTATGAGCTAACCCATGGCTCTCCATCAAGTGGATTCTGTGAGCATTCAGCTCAACTGCATTTTTCACACCTCGCAGGGTGAGTGAAGAAAGTATTCATTTCAGATGATGCAAACAGAATTTAAATCCTGCTATAATCATTTAGGAAGGTGTTTCTTTACATGCAAAGAGAATGGTTTGCTGAAAAATATAAGAACAGTATGAGCAAACGCTGATGTATTTCAGTATGCATCCTCCTGTTACCTTTGGCATGGCAATTATTCCAAGGGCTGGAATGGAGGCAGGGAGAGGAAGTGCCTTCCTTCACATGATCTCTATTCCCTGGCCACAGTGTTCTCTGATAATGAGGATTGTTTCAGAGATGGTATCAGGTCACCACTGCTGGTAGGACTTCTTCACAACGCCAAAACAAACAAGGCTGGAAAATTGTAAAATCAACAGGATCTTGCCTTAGTATTACAGGCAAATGCTTGTCAGAAGTCCAAGTCTGATAGCACTGGAAATGAAATGCTCCATTTACCCATGCAACAAATGAAGCAGTGGAGGTCAGGTGTGTTTGGGAACAGATCCGATGTGGGCTCTAATCTGAAAAACAAACATTAAAGAAGCAGCAAGGGCTCTATTTTCACCTCTTTGCCACTGTTAAAGTCACTCCCAATCTGGTCATCCAACAATGAATCACTGCAAGGAAGGTTGGGGGTTTGTCCACTAAATACAAAACATCTTACTGGGAGAGATTTGTGCTGGTTGATGAGGCTTATTGAGTTTAAAATCTCTGTTGACAGGAAAAGTGCCAGCAAAGCTTCAGCTCTGGACATGAGGAGAGCAGACTTCAGACTACTCAGGGAACTAGTAAATATAGTGCCTTGTGAAAAAGTTTTTTCATGTGCTGGGGTCCATCAGTGCTGGCCACTTTTTAAACATCACCTGCTAAGGGCACAGGAGCAGGCAATTCCTAAAAGTCAGAAGTAAAGGAGATGAGGAGAAGACTGGCTTGGCTGACCAGGGATCTTCTTTTGGAAATAAGGCAAAGAAGGAAGGTGTATATCCAGTAGGATCAAGGTCAGGTGACATGGGAAGAACACAGAGATAGTGCTTGTCATGGTAGGGAGAAAAATCGTGTGGCCAAAGCTCAACTGGAGTTGAAGTTGGCCAGAAATGTGGGGGGCAATACCAACCTTTTTCAAATAAATTAATGGCAAGAGTCAGTGCAGAAATAAAATCAGCCTGTTCGAGGATGAAGATGATCACCTCTTAAACAGGGACACGGACAAGGTAGATATGTTCAGTGTTTTCTTCACCTCTGTCTTCAACACTGACAACAGGCTAAGGAGGTCCCAGCGGCCTGAATTGGAAGACCATGACTGTGAGAAAGATAAACTCCCAGATGACCATGAACTTGTTCGGGATCTGCTGCTCCAGCTGGACCCCTACAAATATATGGGGCTGGATGGAATTCATCTGAGAATCCTCAAAAAGCTGTGATGTCATTGTAAAACCTCTCTCAATGATTTTTGAGTGTTCTTGGAAAACTGGAGAGGTCCCAGCAGACCGGAAGCTCGTTAAAGTCCCAATTCTGAAGAAGGGCAACAAGGAGGACCCTGGAAACTCCAGGTCTGTCAGTCCCACTTCAGTGCTTATGGAGGAGATTATTCTGGGAGGTATTGAAAAACACCTGGAGGACAACACAGTCATCAGTCACAGCCAGCATGGCTTCATGAAGTGAAAATCCTGCTTGTCGAACTTGATTTCCTTTTATGACAAGGTAACCTACCTAGTTGAGGTGTAATCTATTTGGACTTTAGCATTTTATGCTGTCTCTCATAGCATCCTTCTGGTCAAAATGTCCAGCACACAGCTGGATAAATACATCATGTGATGGGTGAGCAACTGACTCACATGTTGGGCACAAAGAGTTATAGTGAATGGGGTAACATCAGACTGGTGACCCGTCACTAGTGAGGTTCCACAGGCTCCATCTTGAGCCCAGTGCTCTTCAATATCTTCATTAATCACTTGGACACAGGACTTGAAGTGTCTGTGTCTGTGTCCAAACTAAGAAAGTTTGCAGACAACATTAAACTGTGGGGGAGCTTGTCAAGTCCCTTGAGGGCAGAGAGGCCCTGCAGAGAGACCTCAGCAAATTAGAGCGATAGGCAGTCACAAACCATGGGAAGTTTAAGAAGGGCAAGTATTGGATTCTGCATCTGGCATAGGGCAATCCTGGTTGTGTGTGCAGACTGGGGAACGAGGCACTCGAGAGCAGCACTGTGGAAAGGGACCTGGGGGTCCTGGTCGATGGCAAGTTGAAATTGAGTCAGCAGTGCCAACCATGTCCTGGGGGGCATCAGGCAAAGCATCACCAGCCAGTTGAGGGAGGGGATTGTCCTGCTCTGTTCTGCTCTGCACTGGGGCAGCCTCACCTCAAGTCCTGTGTGCAGTTTGGGGCACCACAATACAAAAAAGACATTAAGCTGTTAGAGAATGTCCGAAGGAGGGCCATGAGGATGGTGAAGGGTCTGGAGGGGAAGCCGTAAGAGAAGCAACTGAGATCACTTCGTTCAGTCTGGAGAAGAGGAGATAGAGGAGAGACCTCATTGTGTCTTCAACATCCTCATGAGGGGAAGAGGAGGGGCAGACACTGATCTCTTCTCTCTGGTGACCAGTGACAAGACTCAAGGAAATGGTGTGAAGCTGAGTTAGGGGAGGTTTAGGTTGGATATTAAGAGAAGGTTATTCACCCAAAGCGTGATTAGGCACTGGAACAGGCTCCCCAGGGAAGTGGTCACAGCGGCAAGCCTGGCAGAGTTCAAGAAATGTTTGGACAGTGCTCTGGTGTGATGGACAAGGTCCATGGTGTGATTCTTGGGGCTGTCCTGTGCAAGGCCAGAAGTTGGACTTGATGATCCTGATTCAAACTCAGCATGTTCTATGATTCCATAAATGAAATTAAACTGTCTTCATTGTCAGAAAGAGTCCATTAGGTTTGTCTCCTGGAAAAATGGGTATTCTCTTCAGCCATAAAGGTAAGTTTTGCAAAATTTTATGTAAGTAGAGTGAAGTACTATAAAGTGAAGTTTTGTACATAATCAGATGAAAAAAAGATGCTGGTAAAATGTGTAATGTAATGGACAGTCTCTCTTGTACGGATCTGAATCATGGGTCATCTACTGCCACCACCTGCGTCTCCTAGAACGTTTCCATCAACGCTGCCTTTGTACAATCCTAAATATCCACTGGTCAGATTATGTGACCAATACATCTGTTCTAGAACAAGCAGCAATCACAAGTATTGAGGCCATGTTGATGAGAACACAGCTGCGATGGGCAGGACACGTCTCCAGGATGAAGGACCACCGCCTTCCTAAGATCTTGCTCTATGGTGAACTTGCCACTGGCTGCCGCATGAGAGGAGCCCCGAAGAAAAGATACAAGGACTCCCTGAAACAACATCTCAGCCTTGGCCATATTGATGAACATAACTGGTCTACTCTGGCCTCCAATCAGGAGGTCTGGAGAAACACTATCTGCAGATACACTATTCTGCAGATGCTTTTGAGAAAGCACACAGGATCACTCTTAAGAAGAAAAGACAACGCAGAAAGAACCATGCCTTGCAGAATATACCACCTAAGGAGTCCTTCTGCTGTGCCTTTTGCAACCAGACATGTCTATCTCATACTGGCCTTTTTAGCCACCAACACACTTGTAAGAAACATGGGTAGAGCCCTTCCCAAATCTTCGTTTGTGAAGCCCAGCCATGATGATGATGGTAATGGACAGTTACTGTCAGTCACTGTCCAGAAATAAATAAAGTCATTATGGCTGAGCAGCAAAGGTCTTGTGCTCCCACTCCCTACTGTTACTCTCAAAAGGAGCTGTCAATATCAAATCAGACTTTATTTAAAGGTTTCTGGGTTTTCCTTGCCAAGAAGTGAGAGATAAAAGATTCATATGCAGACAGGTTCATGTAGCAGGGAGGGCAATTTGTCAGATGGCTACAACCCTGTCGTGTACTGCAGGATCTCAGAGCTAACAGTGGGAATGTCTCCTTTGTTTCCTCCCAAATCCATGGAAGGAGGAAATTTTGAACTATAGGATTTAAACTGTAACAACTTGCTTTGAAAGGAGTTGAACATTAGGAGCACTAAGACCTCTTGCCAACAGCCCTGGGGACCTGTAAATACAAGGAGGTACAGAGAGAGGGCAAAATGAAACAGGGAAGCACTGTTGGAAAATCATCACATTTCATTAGCCTCAAAATGTGTCCGCATCAAATCATAGGTGGGTCCCCTGAAGCCATGGACAAGGATATGCTGGTAGTGCCAAGTCCTTGGGGCAGCTGGATGCAGCTGTTCCTGATGCTGTTCCTTCACCCATGCTTCCTTACCAGTCCCACTGTTTTTCTGTCTGCTGGACAGGTCCCAGGGCTGCAAGAGCGGCCTTGCCCAGGACCCCACTCCTGATGTAGTGGGTTGTGTCCAGCAGAGTCGGAGCTTCAGCTGTGGGGCTTTGGGGGGCGTTTGCTGGGCTCTCTGGTCCTGCTGAGGAGGTTGGTCCTGCCGGTACCTCGTCCATACTTCTTTTCTGGTCCTGCTGTTCTTCTGGCTGTTGGAGCAGTCTGTGCTGCTGTGGCTGTTGCTTTCAGCATGTTATCTGTACCTTTTTCCAGGTTCTGCTGTACTTTCGGCCGCTGTTTGGAACTCTTTAGAGAACTGTTTAGAGCAGCCTTGCCCATGACCTTACCCCTGATGTCCTGGGCTGTGTCCAGCAGAGCTGGAGCATTGCCTGTGGGGCTGTGCAGGGTATGTGCCAGAACCTCTGCCTCTGCTGCTGTGGCTGTTGCTCTCATCACCTCTCCTGTGCTTTGTTTCAGGTCCTTCAGTTCTTCTGGCTGTTGGTTGGTTCCCTGGATCACAATTACACCCTTGCCCAGGACCTCTGTCCTGTTGTACTCGTCTGTGTTCAGCAGAATGGGGGCATTGTCTGTGGGGCTGTGCAGGGCATGTGCTGGGCTCTCTGCTCCTGCTGCTGTGGCTGTTGCTCTCACCACCTCATCCACGCCTTGTTCCAGGTCCTGCTGTTCTTCCGGCTGCTGTTCAGGACTCCGGACTAACAGCGTAGCCTTGCCCTGGACTTCATTCCTGATGTACTGGAATGTGTCCAGCAGAGTTGAAGCATCAGGTGTGGGGCAGTTCGGAGCATATACTGGACTTTCTGTCACTTCTGCTGTTGTGGCTGTTGCTGCCATTACCTCATCCATGCTTCCTTCCCGGTTCCACTGTTCTTCCAGCTGCAGAACAGGTGCCTGGGTCATAATTACAGCCTTGCGGACGACCTCAGTCCTGATGTACTGAGCTGTGTCCAGCAGAACAGGGGCATCGTCTGTGGGGCTGTGTGGGACTGTGTGGGGTATGTGCCTGGGTATCTCTGCCCCTGCTGCTGTGGCTGTTGCTCTTGTCACCTCATCTGTACTTTGTTCCAGGTCCCTCAGTTCTTCTGGCTGTTGCTTGGTTCCCTGGATCGCAATTACACCCTTGCCCAGGACCTTTGTCCTGTTGTACTCGTCTGTGTCCAGCAGAACAGGGGCATCCTCTGTGGGGCTGTGCGGGGTGTCTGCTGGGCTTTCTGTCTCTTCTGTTGTGGCTTTTGTCACCTCATCCATATTTTGATCCAGGTCCTGTTGCTCTTCTGTCTGCTCCTCAGGTCCCTGGGTCACAATTACAGCCTTGCGCACAACCCCACCCTTGATGTACTGGGCTGTGTCCAGCAGAGCATCGTCTGTGGGGCTGTCGGGGGCAGGTGTCTGGTCTTCTGCCCCTGCTGGTGTGGCCAATGACACATCCATGCTGTCTTCCAGGTCCTGTTGCACTTCTGTCTGCTCACTGGGTTCCTGGATCACAGTTACAGCCTTGCGCACAACCCCACCCTTGATGTACTGGGCTGTGTCCAGTAAACCATTGTTTGTGGAGCTGTCGGGGGCAGGTGTCTGGTCTTCTGCCCCTGTTGATGTGGCCAATGACACATCCGCACTGTCTTCCAGGTCTTGTTGCTCTTCCGTCTGCTCACTGGGTTCCTGGATCACAGTTACAGCCTTGCGCACAACCCCACCCTTGATGTACTGGGCTGTGTCCAGTAGACCATTGCCTGTGGAGCTGTCGGGGGCAGGTGTCTGGTCTTCTGCCCCTGTTGATGTGGCCAATGACACATCCGCACTGTCTTCCAGGTCCTGTTGCTCTTCTGTCTGCTCACTGGATTCCTGGATCACAGTTACAGCCTTGTGTACGACCTCACCTGTAATGTACTGGGCTGTGTCCAGCAGAGCTGGGGCATCATCTGTGGGGTTGTCGGGGGCAGGTGTCTGGTCTTCTACCCCTGCTAGTGTGGCCAATGACACATCCATGCTGTCTTTCACATCCTGTTGCTCTTCTGTCTGCTCACTGGGTTCCTGGATCACAGTTACAGCCTTGTGTACGACCTCACCTGTAATGTACTGGGCTGTGTCCAGCAGAGCTGGGGCATCATCTGTGGGGCTGTCGGGGGCAGGTGTCTGGTCTTCTGCCCCTGCTGGTGTGACCAATGACACATCCATGCTGTCTTCCAGGTCCTGTTGCTCTTCTGTCTGCTCACTGGGTTCCTGGATCACAGTTACAGCCTTGTGTACGACCCCATCCGTAATGTACTGGGCTGTGTCCAGTAAACCATTGTTTGTGGAGCTGTTGGGGGCAGGTGTCTGGTCTTCTGCCCCTGCTGGTGTGACCAATGACACATCCATGCTGTCTTCCAGGTCCTGTTGCTCTTCTGTCTGCTCACTGGGTTCCTGGATCACAGTTACAGCCTTGTGTACGACCTCACCCGTAATGTACTGGGCTGTGTCCAGCAGAGCCGGTGTGCAGTCTCTTGCGTGCTGCTTCTCCTGCTCTTCTGGAGAGAGACTGCTCCTGCTGCTTCTCCTGCTCTCTGTGGCAGTGGAGGCCCTGTGCAGAGCCCTTGGTGCCTTCTGGAAGGACGTCCGCCTCTCGTGAGCCAGGGCATCAATGACTGTGAGGGAAGGAGATCTGTAGGTATGTCCTGCAGGTGTTTCTGCTGCTGTTGCTTCACTCATGCTTAGTTTCAGGTCCAGTTGTCTGCTGATTGAATCTTCCCACCTCTCCTCCTGGGACAGCTTTTTACCAACACCCTCTTCCCGCTCTTCCTCCTCGGCCAAAGCCACTGGCTCACTGGTGGCAGTATGGGCTTCCAGACACTCCAATGCCTCCTGCTTGCTCATGGTGCCCTTCGTGAAGTTCACATATACAACTTGTGGCTGCTGTCGTGTGGTCCATGGAAAGCTCATGGACCTGTCGCGTCCTGTCTTAGGCTGTCTCATTCCATCCTTGGCACCCACCTGCCCAGGTCTGCCATAGAGTCCCCCTGACTGCCTCCGGGAGAAACACTGTCCCTCATTCTCTGGCTGCTGGATCTCCCTGTCCTCCAGGTCATCCTGCTGCTGTGGCAGGCTGGCTCTCCGAAGTGGAGCCTGTCTGCACGTGGTGTGGGTCAGGCAGTTCCTGCACAGTTCCTCTGGAGGCTTCCTCTTGAAGGACACAATGATCTGCTTTACAACAGTCCCCTTCTTCTTGTGCCCCCCTGACATACTGCCGAGGTTGTATTCAATGCACACCGACGGCCTTGCTGTGTCCTGCTGTGCTGTTTGCTCCCAGTGGCCTCTCCACGCATCTGCATCCCTGCCCAGGGAAGCTGATGAAGCCCTGCCATGTGCCTGTTTCATGTGTGCTGTCAGCTGCTCCTTGTCCGTATTTGCCTTTGGCATCCTCTGCCTCTGACCTGCCAGGGTTGCCCTGGCGAGCTGCTGAGTCCTGAGGGAGGTATTTCCTTAGGACTGGGTACCTCCAAGGCTCTCTGTTCCTTAAACATTCCCACAGTCAGGGCAGGGGCCCATGTCACAATGGCCTCTGAGCAGTGTGAGGCACCATGGCATGGCACCCCCCTGTCATGCTGGCTGGGTCCTGTGGACTGCCGTTGCCTGCTCCATATCACAAGGGAAGGGAAAAGCGTGAAGCCAGTCGGTTGCTTTACCTACCTGAGAGCCTAGGCTCAGGGTTGTAGCCACCACAGACTCGGGGAAAGTTGATCCCAAGATCTTTGCCATTTGTTTGTAGGTCTGGACAGTGCAGGACATCTGAGTTCGAGAAGTTAGTTCATAGACTGTAGTTTTTAGGGTCTTGTTGGCTTTTAGGGTCAGAGGTCTTTTCCAACCTAATTGATTCTGTGATTCTGTGGTTATTAACAAGTGTCTTACAGCAGCCAGTGCAAATTATTATGTGAGAGCATACAAACCCACCAGCTAGATGACAACCAGACTACCAAGTGTAGTTACTGTCTGATACGTGATAATATGATTGGATGACCCTAAAATGCTATGCAGTTGCTGAAATTTGCAAGTAAACAGTATCCGTTGTGGAAAAAATACACATATGTGCACAGCTGTATGGCTTTCTGAGTAATGCATTTTGTCCATGCTTTTTCTTTGTCTTGGGTTGAGAGTTACAAAGACTCTCAGATGCTGCCTTTTCATCCTGAGAAAGCTGATTCCACTACCTGATGCAGCCTTTCTAAGTCATGTCTTATGTGTCAAAATGTTTTATGGCTTCATTTCACCCAAAGTACAAAGAGCCAAAATATGTTATCAGTCCACCATTGCCAGTTCTGTCATAGCCTGGGTTTTTCATGGAGACTCCTCATGACGTTTTGATAGTACAGGAGACAGAACTGGCAGCTGTGGTGTCATTCCTCTTGCATTCCCTTCACTCATTGTCTTGTAAATTCAAGACATTATCCTGTACTTTGCATCAAGCTGTTCTGGTCAGGACAGGGTTAATTTTTGCACTAGCCAGGAGGGTAATGGTCAGGACCCAGAGGATATTTATAACACCTTACATCATTCCCTGGCTGGAGGAAAGGAGTCTCTTCCAAGAAGAAACTGTTCCATCTGGCTTGGGTTCTGAGCTGAAGGGAGCACTTGGGCATTTTCTATTGTCTGGGATTTCTGCAGTGAGTAGTGATGTTTTCATTTCTTGTACTCTCTGTCATTAGCATTGTTGCTGTTACTATTTGTTTTCTTATCTCATTGCTGTTTCCAGTAAATTGTTCTTATCTCAACCCACAATCTTCACCTTTTGTGCCTCCAATTCTACTCTTCAGCCCCCTATGGAAAGCACGGAGAGGGACAGGGGGAGCAAGCGAGTGGCAGTGTGGTTTGGAGTTTCAGTGGGGATACTAAACTGGGGAGTACCATTCCTAAACCATGACAACAGCTCTCATGACAGTAGTACACAAGATTTCCTTTTTATCTGATGGATTCATCTCATGACTCCATCAGTGCCACAGACCTCGCAAAAGAGACATATAAATAAATATTTAATTATGTATCATTATGCACGGAAAAAGGGACTTGCATGAGGATTGGATGCAAACTAGGCCTTGAGTCTTGGGGCTTCCTCTCCAGATCTTAGTGAAAAAACACTAATTTGCCTTTTGAACCATAGGCTGAAAGGAAGACTTTTTGTTGCAGAGAAGGTGAGGAGGTCAAGAAGAATGCCAGCTTTTTCTTGGGTCTGCTAACACTTCCAGTCACCTGACAAACTGAGCACATACATTTGTGCTGGCTCATGTGGAAGTGTCGTAAGGGAAATGGCTCCCTCCATGCTCCAGCACATTTATCACCTCAGTTTCATCTATTCATAACATATTTTTTTATCCGTATAGAAAGAGAGAGAAGGTAAAGGTAAGGTAGTGATGAATTTTGCATTATGGTGGATGAATTTATGGATGAAAGCTTTCTGTCAGTTCAAAAACACTTCAAATGTGAATGTCAGGTTTCTTCACTTGCTTGAAATACTGTTCTGGAGATGGAAGTCAAGAAGAGTTTTATGAAATTCTCTACTGTGCGTTTAACTGATAGAAAAAGATAACTTTGAAAAGTTTATACATGTTCTATTTTTTCTGTTGTGTTACATTTGACTACTATATCTTTACTAGAAATCAGAGTGTATGCTGTAAACAAAATCAGATAATATGAAGAGTAAATGCATTATTTGGTCAGAAATGAGACCGAACTGGGCTTTGACCAGCTTACCTTGCTTTGAGGATCTCTTTCTGCCTCCATGCATCTCAATAGAAAGACTCCCACACATTTCAGTCATGTAGGACCAACCTCAGAGACAAGAGAGCAGCAGAAGTCTTTTACAAAACAATGGAAATATGATGAAGAGAAATATCAGGACACTCAACTGGTCTCTAAGTTAATGAAAGAAAAACAACAAATGAAAGCTTGATCTTTCAGGAAAAAAAGTCTGTTTGGAAAAGGATGCGTTCAGCCAAAGATATCGCACTTAAGAAGAGAAAGCTGTGCACTTACGAAAGAAAAACTGTCTGCTGAGAGTTAGCAGGACACAAATATCCAGGAAGCTGAACTTTGGAAATGAGTGTGCAATTCTCTGAACACTTCCTAAGAGATACGGTGGAGTGGGCAGGGGTTTGAATGCACGCATCTTTTAGGATGGAGTCCTCTGTGACTTTGGGAACACGTCAGGTAGTGCCTGGGAAAAAAAACATAGGAAGCTTGAGGAATGCTGTGAAATTTGTTTCTTTCATATCCTGTAAGAGAAGGTTGTGGTTTTTTTGGTTGTTTTTTGTTTGTTTGTTTTTTTTTTGACTCTCGTTGTTTCTAAGGTCTGTTAAGGCTTGTTTGTTGCCAAAGAGTTTCCTTTGTTCTACATCTTAAACAACCCAAAACAAAGATTTCTTGTTCCTTTCGTGAACCTATTCTCCTCTCAATGCAAAGTAGTTGTGGGAGTACAGTTTCTGCAGACTTCCTAAGTGGTTTAAAACAACCTCAAACATTACGATCCTTGTTATGCCTTGATTTCTATATTTTGGAAGGGGGAAGGTGTTTTTATTGCAGACAACTCAAGACCATAACAAAATGTGAGCTCCGGTTTAATTTGAGAACGGAAAGCGAATGGTATTGTAAAGCTTAATGTTTATAGGAAGGAAAGGTTTTCCTTTTCAGTCTTTTTCTTATGCCTGAAATGTGTAAGAGGAAGTTCAAAGAGGATATACACACTAGTTCCTACTTGGTTATTTTCCATATGTGAGGTCAGTAGATTTCAGCGGGTTAGTCTGGGTTCCTGAACAGCTGAAAAGTTTTGAAATCACCTTCCTGAGGTTTTGAAGTATGGTATAATAGTTTGCAAAGAAAAAGATCAGTTTGAGCAGGCTTCCTGCATTGCCTGTTTACTAGGAAAGTGAGAGTAGAGTGGTCTGAAATAGGAGATGAGTGCAACCAAAATTATTTACAGCAGTGATTTAAAACTTGATGGGCTTTTTAAGAACCAGCATACTTTTCAGCAGCCTTGAGCCACTACTTTGTTCTACACTGCTGATCATAATTGAAACCTTTTGGGAGAAAATGATTTATTGTTTCAGGATGATTTTCGATATATCTGAAAAAAAGACCCACTTGGGTGGAACCTGACTTTGTAAAAAAAATCAGATAGAAATATATATATATATAAACCCCTAGACTGATACTGTTATTTCAAACTATTTTGTAGATCGACATGTAAGTTTTGCAATTCCACATAGCATTTTCTCTCAAAAGCAGCAGTAATTAATCTATTGCTATGAGATCACAAAGCAATTTCCTCACGAAGATTGGATCAGGTTAATAGAACTGGCAAAACTCACCATTTGCATTCATATATGTGTTTCTCACCTTCAGTTCAGAAGTGAACTGAAGTTTAAGTAAAGGGTCCTGAAAGATGAGGGATTGGCAGTGAAACTAATTTCAACAGCAATTTCTTGCAGAAATACACCTGGTATACATGGATCCAATAGAGGTGATCTCAAGGGAAGCTTTGAGTTACTGTATGAAATAGTTGATGTCAAAATAATTAATCTGAAAGTATCTGAAGATGCTGAGGCTGGCAAAAGTTCTGGAGATGTGTGCTGTAAATCAGGCTCATCACACTATTTTTGAAGTGACCTACGGAAGAAAAGATGGGGTTTGAAAGGTGCAATTTGGGTTCAAACTAGCTTTGAGTGCTGAGCAGTGTTTGGTTCTCCTCCAGGAAAAATAGCTGCTGAGTAGCCTCAGTTATGAGTAGTTGGTAAGGAGCATTTCATTTATTACCTTGCTTTCTTTTAAGGCCTGCAAATCCCAGTCTCTTTCGCAGTTTTCTCTTGTATGTTATTCTGTGTCTTCTGAGTAATTTTTTGAGATACCTGACTGCCATTGTACAGGTATACAGGGCTTTATGTTGAATGTTTGTAGGAAGAAATCTACTTTGAAATTAATATAGTGTGATTTTATAATTATTATTTGCTAGTGTATAAACAAAGGAAATACGATTTTAAAACTCTCTTAACTTTTCATTTCAGCCCAGCAACACTCCTGAGGACCAGTGAGTTTACTCAAGATTGTTAAACCTGTAATTGAGCACCTTGCTGGATCAATGTTTAGCTTTGACAGCAGGAAATGTCTTTACCTTTGTGAAACCAACTTTCTTTTTGACCAGCTGTGCAAATTTTCCACCTGGATGGAAGCCCCGCCTTATGTTCCCTACCATCGCAGCACAAATCCTTGAAACCTTCATATATGACTAAAACAGGGTTTGCCTTTTAAATGTCATTAGTATACAGGTTTACATGTCCATGAGATGTTACATAAAATATACGCTTGAGCATCATAAGGGATCTTACAAATAATTCACAAGTCATACTCAGATCAGAGATTCTACAATTCGTGACATATGTGCATGGGGACCTCAGTTCCATATGACGTCTAGGCTGTTCTGTGGTAATAGATTATA